GTGTGAACCATATTTGGTGTCCCCCACCGTGATATTGCTGTAATATTGCTAACTCACTCACTCACTCACTCACTCACTCACTCACTCACTCACTCACTCACTCACTCACTCACTCACTCACTCACTCACTCACTCACTCACTCACTCACTCACTCACTCACTCACTCATGTCCATTAGGGGTGGGTGGGCGATAATACAGGTTAACCGGTATACTTCAATTTAAACTTCACAATACAATATATTGTGGTACACTTTTTCGCGAACCGGTTCACCTTAAACGATCGGTAATTTTCGTGATGTAGTCAAAACTACTGATAACATTTGTATTTCCTTTATATTATCATACATTAATAGTTTAGAGAATGTTTATTGGTCATATAATTGCATTTGCGTGACTTTTGAACCATATAAATAAAAACAATAGATTGGTATCGGCACTCGTTGTAAGGATAAACAAACCAAAATGGCAGATGCTGCTGCAGAAGCTTTTTCTCGAGTTCCAAACTTTAGAGAGAAATCTTCAATTTGGAAACATTTTCAATTGATCTCTTGTACAATTACATCTGAGTCCTGACAGTGGCCAGTGGCATTTCTTCAAAAGAAAGGAAACAGTAATTTCATTACCTTAACAATATATTGCAATACATTTCACAATATATCGCAATAAGAAAATTTTGGCAATATCCAACCCTAGTGTCCATGTGTTTGTATTGTGTTTATTTATAATATCTTCATATAATAAGCATCACTATGATGTATTTAGTCAACTGCTGTGATTTTGATATCTGCACGTAAGACATGGAGAACATACTTTAACAAGGATATGATGATTGTCATCAGGTCATTGGCACTGGAAATGTGGCACTTGCCAGAAAGTTTTAACTGGCATTACAACAAGACATCAATTCTAAACTTACTAGACCTCTACACTTAATATATTTATTCTCCTGTATGCAATATGGTGGAGATAGTAGTCAGCCTGTCTGTCTATCCATGTGTCAACGCATGCCTGCCTGCCCTCCTGTCCACCCAATTGTCCGTCCATAGGTCTAATATAATTATTTTCTGTACCATATCTCTGAAACTACATGCTATGTATTCTGATATGACAATTTGCAGGCCCAATGACAAGATTTTCAACTGGTCTTTTGCTATTTAAAGATTTTAAGAATTTGTTTTTCCATTTTCACAGCGAAAGAATGTAACTCTGACTCAGTTCACAAGGAAGGTTTTTCTCCAGAACATGTATCCCAAATTACCGGTTTACTTCGGTACTTGCACACAGTGGCCAAATACTAAACTGGTGCTTTAAGTCTTGACAGACTTTCAATTATTTTGTGAGATGCACTACCTTGTATCTTGGCGAAAAAAAAAGAACTTGAGATACAAATACATAAACCAGAACTCCAATTCTATGGTATTGCTTTGGTTCCATGGTATTGCTTTGGTAGTATGCCAGTTTGAACCACTCTGCAGTTTACTGTAAGCTTTTGAGCCTTTAATTATACAAAGAATAGTCTAGGAGTTTGTTCAAAGCATTTTTAGCTTTGAATTAAATCGTCCATTGGAAACTAATTATCTGATTCCTGAATTATTAACTTCATAAACTGGGCATGTTTATTTCTCTCAGAAAACTTACAACTGCAGTTTAATTCCATACCTCCATTTTCTGCCAACTTTGAGGAAGATAATCAGAAAATAGATGATATGATCCTAACAACATATTTTCTTTCAGGAAATACTCTGTTGCCACCATCAGAAATATTGTTATTGTTATAATTTCTATACTTTCTTTAGCTATCTCTATTCACAAGTGTGGAGATTTCAATTATCAGAGAACCACTCCTATGTGTGTAGAGTTACACCTGACTTGTCACGGCAAGGCTATCATGTTCCACATTGTGTCTTGCACAGTGATGACAAAAACAACACTTCATTTCCTCTGAATCATTGCAATGTGTTTCCGTGGTGACGTACAAGTGGTGGATGTTTTACAGCAACTGGAATCTTCCAGTGACATTGAGGTGGAGGTTCTCTTGAGACAGTTCAGCTTTCTTAATTGCATCTTTATGACAATAATATTTGTAGGTCGTATTTCCAGAAATTATTTTAATAAATATACTTTGTTTTTTAATTTAGTAGAGGACAATTCATTTGCAATTGGTTATTGTATTGTGATACATTTTATACAAGGCTTTTGTGGTAGACTTTTGTTTTGATTGTGATAATAAACCTCTGTTTTCTCATTAAATATTTAGAGGAGATTTCATTTGCAATAGGGTAGTGTATTTTAATCAATTTTATACAAGGCTTTTGTGGTAAACTTTGTTATGATCATGATAAGTACATCAAATTTTAAGGCAGGATAATCAGCTATTTGAGCTTCCTAACACCTCCACTTGCAAGCTTTGTAATGTGTATCTCTATTTAGTTGTCTTTTTCTAATGGTTTCTTCTTGAAACATCAAGAATCTAGATGTTGTGTTATATTGTCACCTAATGATACTTGAGTTTTTAAGCATTTATTCAGAACAATTAAGAAGGACATGATTCTTGAAATTCACTTTTCAAATCGTTGAAAAAAATAGTGAAATCAGTTCTGAATCAGTTTTCAAGCTTTGCTGACATATATTCTGAACAAAAGCAGTGCTATGGGATACCCATGAATTACAACTACTGTGATTGTCTGCTCTGTGGCTGTGTCAAAGTCACATGTACTGTACACAGCAGGGATGTATTGGTGTTTCAGGTAGCTGCTTTAATGTATACCTGCATGTATTTACAGGGATATATAGACCAACACCTGCATGTATTTACAGGGATATATAGACCAACACCTGCATGTATTTACAGGGATATATAGACCAACACCTGCATGTATTTACAGGGATATATAGACCAACACCTGCATGTAATTACAGGGATATATAGACCAACACCTGCATGTATTTACAGGGATATATAGACCAACACCTGTATGTATTTACAGGGATATATAGACCAACACCTGCATATATTTACAGGGATATATAGACCCACACCTGCTTGTATTTACAGGGATATATAGACAGATATATAGACCGCACTCTTGCATGTAATTACAGGGATATATAGACCAGGGATATATAGCACCTGCATGTAATTACAGGGATATATAGACCAACACCTGCATGTATTTACAGGGATATATAGACCAACACCTGCATGTATGTTTACAGGGATATATAGACCAACACCTGCATGTATTTACAGGGATATATAGACCAACACAGGGATATATAGACCCACACCTGCTTGTATTTACAGGGATATATAGACCACACATGTATTTACAGGGATATATAGACCAACACCTGCATGTAATTACAGGGATATATAGACCAACACCTGCATGTATTTACAGGGATATATAGACCAACACCTGCATGTATTTACAGGGATATATAGACCAACACCTGCATGTATTTACAGGGATATATAGACCAACACCTGCATGTATTTACAGGGGATATATAGACCAACACCTGCATGTATTTACAGGGATATATAGACCAACACCTGCATGTAATTACAGGGATATATAGACCAACACCTGCATGTATTTACAGGGATATATAGACCAACACCTGCATGTAATTACAGGGATTTACATGGGCCTGCTACAGGGATGTATTTACCAGGATATATAGACCAACACCTGCATGTATTTACAGGGATATATAGACCAACACCTGCATGTATTTACAGGGATATATAGACCAACACCTGCATGTATTTACAGGGATATATAGACCAACACCTGCATGTATTTACAGGGATATATAGACCAACACCTGCATGTATTTACAGGGATATATAGACCCACACCTGCATGTATTTACAGGGATATATAGACCAACACCTGCATGTATTTACAGGGATATATAGACCAACACCTGCATGTATTTACAGGGATATATAGACCAACACCTGCATGTATGTATTTACAGGGATATATAGACCAACACCTGCATGTATTTACAGGGATATATAGACCAACACCTGAACCAACATGCATGTATTTACAGGGGATATATAGACCAACACCTGCATGTATTTACAGGGATATATAGACCAACACCTGCATGTATTTACAGGGATATATAGACCAACACCTGCATGTATTTACAGGGATATATAGACCAACACCTGCATGTATTTACAGGGATATATAGACCAACACCTGCATGTATTTACAGGGATATATAGACCAACACCTGCATGTAATTACAGGGATATATAGACCAACACCTGCATGTATTTACAGGGATATATAGACCAACACCTGCATGTATTTACAGGGATATATAGACCAACACCTGTATGTATTTACAGGGATATATAGATCCACACCTGCATGTATTTACAGGGATATATAGACCAACACCTGCATGTGATTACAGGGATATATAGACCAACACCTGCACGTATTTACAGGGATATATAGACCAACACCTGCTTGTATTTACAGGGATATATACAGGATAATTACAGGGATATAGACCAACACCTGCATGTAATTTACAGGGATATATAGACCAACACCTGCATGTATTTACAGGGATATATAGACCAACACCTGCATGTATTTACAGGGATATATAGACCAACACCTGCATGTAATTACAGGGATATATAGACCAACACCTGCATGTATTTACAGGGATATATAGACCAACACCTGCATGTATTTACAGGGATATATAGACCAACACCTGCATGTATTTACAGGGATATATAGACCAACACCTGCATGTATTTACAGGGATATATAGACCAACACCTGCTTGTATTTACAGGGATATATAGACCAACGCCTGCATGTAATTACAGGGATATATAGACCAACACCTGCATGTATTTACAGGGATATATAGACCAACACCTGGATCTATTTATATATTGAGCATGATATTTATGTAACATGCTGTTTAAGACATCAGGAGAGTTTTTGAGACCTTATGAAACAAGTCCCACCACCAAATTGCTTGTTTGGATCAGACTGTTTAGGATCAGCAGCAGGGAGTCAGTATGACATCATACATATTGTACATCAAATGATTTCTCTCAAGGCCATTCTATACACGACAAACACATAGTTTATTATGCATAGACTTCCTTGACCCATTCAGTTTAAAGGAAGGAATTATCTCACAACAATTATTATCAAATATGTTGCATACCATAGTAGGTTGATTCTGTATGTGTGTTTTATATATGTGTAATCATAACCGAAAAGAACATATGCTGATAATATAATGACTACTGTTTGTTCCTCGGAGTTGTATTGTATGTAGACAGTCTCTGTATAGCACCATTCCCTCTCTCCCTACCTCTCACTCCACCATCACCACCCTTCATACCCTCTCTCCCTACCTGCCACTCCACCATCACCACCCTTCATACCCTCTCTCCCTACCTGTCACTCCACCCACCCCCACCCCTTCATCATACCCTCTCCCTACCTGTCACTCCTCCACCATCACCACCCTTCATACCCTCTCTCCCTACCTGTCACTCCTCCTCCAACAACCTCCCCCTTCATACCCCTCTCCCTACCTGTCACTCCTCCACCCCCACCCTTCACACCCTCTCTCCCTACTCTTACTCCCACCACCCCCACCCTTCATACCCTCTCTCCCTACCTGTCACCCTCCACCAACACCCTCCTTCATACCCTCTCTCCCTACTCTTTACTCCACCAACCTCTCCTTCATACTCCTCTCCCCTACCTGTCACTCCTCCACCCCCACCCTTCCATATCCCCCCCTCTCCCTACCTGTCACCCTCCACCCCCACCCTTCATACCCTCTCTCCCCATCCTCTCTCCCCCCCACCCTTCTGCTTCACCCTCTCTCCCTACCCACCACCCCCACCCCTTCATACCCTCTCCTCCCCTACCTGTCACCCACCCCCACCTTTCCAGTACCCTCTCCCTACTCTGTCACTCCCACCATCCCCACCCCACCTCCTCCTCCTCTCTCCTACCGGCTCTTCACCTCCTCCCACCCCCACTCCTTCATACCCTCTCTCCCCTACCTGTCACCACCCACCACCCTTCATACCCTCTCCCTACCTGTCACTCCACCACCCCCCACCCTTCATACCCTCTCTCCCTACCTGTCACTCCACCAACAACCTCCTTCATACCTCTCTCTCTCCCTACCTGTCACCTCCCACCACCCCCATGACCTTCATAATCTCGACCCCACCTGACCCTCCATTTTTCGACTTTGACGATTTTCGACGATCGACGATGATCGATTGATCGACGATTGATGATCGATTCGATGATTTGATTGATTGATTCGACGATCGGATGAAATATCGACGACGATCGATATCGACGATTTTGACGATCGACGACGACGATGATGATCGACGACGATTTCGATCGATGCCGACTTCGACGATCGCCGATTGACGACGATTTATCGACGATTTCGATGAAATTTGACGACGGACGATCTTGATCGATCGACGATCCTGATGATTTCGACGGATCGACGATCCGACGATTTTGACGAAATATCGACGGACGCGATTTTATCGATATCGACTTCGACGCGACGATTTCGGATGAAAGATCGACGATCTTCGACGGATTGATCGACTTCGACGCGCTTTGATCGAGTCGACCTTTGATGCTTTGATGAAGATCGACGACGCGATTTATCGTTTATCCGGATTTCGACGCGATCGCCTTTGATCGATTGACGATTCTGACGATTTTGCCGACTTCGACGATTTTGATCGACGTTTGACGATCGAAGATCCTTGACGCGATGCCGGATTGACTTCGACGATGCCTTTGATCGACGACCTGATGATCGCCTTTGACGATCGACGATCTGACGCGCCGATCGGATTGACGGATGATTTTGATTATCGACGGATGATTTGATATCGACTTCGACGGATGATATCGACGATCGATTGATTATCGACCGACGACGATCCGGATGAAGATCGATTGACGATCGATTTCGACAAGAAAGATCGACTTTGACGCGATCGCCTTTGATATCGACATCGACGATCTTTGATGTTGATTGACGCATCTTTGACGCGCGACGGATGGATTGACGACTTTGACGATTTCTTCGATGATTTGACGATCCTGACGACATCGACTTTGACGATTTCGATCGATTCGACTTTGACGATTTCGACGATGATATCGACGGACGATACGGATGATCGACGATTTTGATACCGACATCTGATCGACGCCTTTGATCGACGACGGCTAGAAAGATTGACGATCCTTGCCTTTGATCGAAATATCGACGACGATATCGATTTGATGACGCGATGCCGATTTCGACGCGATACTTTGATGAGACTTTGATTTTGATGATTATCGACGGATTTTTTGATTGACGATACGGATGAGCATCGACGATTTCGACGATTTTGACGACTTTGACGACGCGATGAAGATTTATCGATCTTGACGATGCCGGATTTTGATTTTCTGACGCGATGCCGGATGATTGATTTCGGACGCGATGCCGGATGAGATTAATTTTTGACGCGATGAGCCAGACGACGGGATGAGACCCTGATGAAGATTGATGATATCTTGATGCGATGCCGGATATTGACGATGTCTTTGATGCGCGATTTGCCGATTGATTTTGACGCGATTGATTTCGGATGCCGACGATCTTTGACGCGATTTGATTGATCGACGATCGCGATGCGCGATGGTTTTGATGAAAGCTGATTTATCGACGACGGATGATTTTGATCGAAAGATGATGATCGACGCGATTTTGATGCCGATTTTTGATGCGATTTTTGATGCCGATGCCGCGATGCCGGATTTTTCGATTTCGGGATTTGCTGATTGATTTGATGAGCCGATTTTGACGCGATTTCTGGATGATGCCGATTTTGATGCGATTTCTTGATGATATTTTTTCGATTTCGACGCGATTTTTCTGACATTGACGACTTCGCGCGATTTATATGAAAATTAGGTCTTAAGTCCGAGACAGTAGGTTTAATAGAAGAGTAAATCGAGTCACCCTTTACAGTCTTTGGCAGAAGAGTAAATAGACTCCCTGTAAGGTCTCCAGTCCTTTATCCTTGAGCTTTTTCTCAAAAGCCTTTAACATCTCAGGCATGTGAGCATCATAATAAACACCCCCTTGTAACATATATATAAACCGGTATATAAACTGTAAACTTTGTCAAACATTGTAATCAGTTGTTAGGATAAACTTCTGTCTGGAAGACATTTTGTATCTGCCATGGCTGTCACCGTGACACAACTCTGAGCAGGTAGGACATGTAGATCTGAAGTAGATGTATACATTATGTCATCTACATGTCTGTTTCAAGCTATGCATCTTCCTGGTATAATAGTGCGCCCTTGTGGTACCTGCTGCTATACCATCTTGACAGAGTTAGGTCCTCAACACAATCATTGTTGTTTTGTGTATGTAGTTAGACAAAGGAATGAATGGCAATGATGTCACAAGGAGGAGAAGAGCTCTCTTATCTATACTCATGAGATAAGCTTTTATGTAAAATGAAAGAAATGCAATTTCTAATTTTTATTTATTCCAATTTGATCAGAAAAACATGCTGGAATAAAGTTTTCAGACATATTAGCTTTAAAGTACTTTTAAAGAAGCAATTCTGTTTTGTTACTTGTCAATGAGTAAAAATAGCATTACTTTTGAAAGAATTATACAAATGTTGTAAGATTTGCTCCTTCTATATCATGACCATTATGTTTCCAAGCAACTTTGTTTGCTCTTCTTTGCTTTGTGTCTGTTTATAGGTAGAAAGAAACAGGAAACAAAATAGTTGTGTAGAAAGTATTGTTTGTGTTAAAACATTCAATCTGTGAAGATCAAACATCTTGTTTTAAAGAATATTTCTGGATAAATTAACAGAGTTGATATTGTGAAATTATTTACATGCACTGGAATCACGTTGATGTAAATATGAGGTTGCATCTTAACTGACAGTTTCAGGTGCAAGTTCTAAATTCATTAATCAAACCCTGTATAATATTAGTTGTTCACTGGTCACGAGGGGGACATGGGTTGATGTACCCCTGTAAAGGAAAGGAACATAAACAAACATCGAGGGTACATCAACCCATGGCCCCGAGGGATCAGTGAACAACGTATTTATCTTACCTTATCTTAATGTTAATTTTGAATTGTTTGAAACACGGGTACAAATCTTTTTGTAGCCATCGCTAGATTTTGCTGACAAGAAAAACAGATTTAGAGTTATCTCCCTTCCATCGATTTGCATTCGCAAAACATCGGTAATTTCCGTACATCATACGTGATTCAATGTTATTTGAGATAAAGAATTACTACCACAAAGTACCAAATGAGTTGCCATTGACAACGGGGTACATTGAAATGTTACTCGCTTGTGTGCGGGGTACATTGAAAATAATAGAAGAGCGCTCAGCCAATCAGAAAGCGACATTTATGTGTGAGGTAAGATAAATGTATAGATAGACATTCTATACGCAGTTTCCCTATTCGAAACACATCAGGTACCATGTTGTTATGATATTTGAATGACTATGATATACGGATGACAAAGATGGAGTAGCTGTCTTCATTTCAAGGCAACTATTTGCCATTGCTCAGAAGAGGGGATACACAGAGTCCAGATTATCAAGGTTCAATTGTACAAAATGAAAGATGACTCGACAAGACTTGGAAGAAGCATACATGTAAGTCTTCCTGTTGACACATGCAGGCAATCCAAGTTTCAGGTAATGGAGATGCTATGAGGACAGTGTGATGAAGCTGCTCTGTGTTGTACATGTGTTGTACATGTGTGTGTCGGTGTAATGCAAGATACAACACGGTCCAGTCTGAGACACTCCTAGCTAGGTGACGGTGGGTAGCTTAGTGGTTAAAGTGTTAGCTCATCATGACAGAGGCCTGTGCTCGATTCTCTACATGGGTATAACGTGTGAATCCCCTAATCCCTTTAAATCCTCTATCACAAACCAATAAATTCCTTGTTTGGCTGTAATTATTACATTATATTTTCAACTGATGTTCTCTTCACTGCCAACATATCTTTAATAGGTAATGGTACATCGCGTGATTACTCATATGCCATATTAGGTCGAGGTGGTATGAATGATTATATATGAGTTTTGAATCTGAAATATCAACCATTATCAAATAATTGCCAAAAAGCATTTTCTAAGCATTTCTGGCCTTACTTTAACCTAAAAAGGGAGGCTGTGGTTATGTCCTTTACAAGACTGGATAAACAAGACAGAGAGAATTAAATGACCTATCTCAAGTCCTATCAGCCCAGCTGTTATAGCTACTATATCACAATGTGATGTCAATGTATGTCCTATTTTGTTCTCAAAGACATCACCCCTACAAGGTTGCATCAGAAAATTGATAGGGTGCTCACGTGGATAATGGCACAATACAATGGAAGTTGTCCATCCTGGGCAGGAAGTTGCATATCAACTGTCTGAAGATGAGAGCTATTTTCCAATCCATCAAAGAATGGCAATTTCAGCTAAGCGATGCTTTAGTATTGATCATGACAGACAACTCCACTGTACATGTGGCGGTATGTATACACAGCGTCATGGGGGCATGATGTCACAGCGGTTGTTGAAGGAGGTTACATACTTATCATCATTGCCAGACTTGTTGAGTTGCAGGATGGAAGGATGTCACATACCAGGCAAGTTAAACATACTTGCAGATTGCCTTTACCGGAAGAGGAAAATCAAGCCCACATCATGATCTATCCACCACCTGCCTCAACAACAAGTTGCCTGTGTATGTCAAGACCCATTAGCACTCCAGGTGTATACACTCTAGATGAGGGGCAGCAGGGTAGTCTAGTGGATAAAGCGTTCGCTCTTCACACCGATGACCCGGGTTCGATTCCCCACATGGTTACAATGTGTGAAGCCCATTTCTGGTGTCCCGCCATGATGTTTCTGGAATATTGCAAGAAGTGACGTAAAAACTAAACTCGCTCACTCACTCACTCACACTCTACAGGAGGTGGGATGCAATGTTTGCCAAGGCATTCCCCACCTTGGATCTCTGGCCAAAGGATCATGGAAGATTGAGGACATGAAATCCTGATAGCTCTGGCACTGCAACAGAGCATGGTGTCCGAGATTGTTACGTTGCCTAGATGTTCTGAAACAACAAGAGCATCATGATCTTCAGCACCAACCTTTATGTGACATATTTCATGGCAACTTCAACAACCTTTGCCTTCATGCCCAGAGAT